TGTCTGTACCGTCGTGAGGGCAGTAACGCACAGGTTACATCTCAAGGGGGGGGGGAGGGGGGGGAAGTGGGGGTTGCCATCTCGTAACTTGTCGCTCTATGTCGCCCTTGTATCCTCGAGTCACAGGGATCGCGGAGGTCAGGGTTGACCGACCGATCAACCGACCCACCGACCCACCAACCTACCGACCGGAATGACGGACCGACGGACCAGCCCCAAAGAAAAAAAAATGAACGGAAAAAATCAAAACGAGCGAACACGAATAGCAAACCTTTCATGATTCTGATCACGAGCTTCTTGCATTGATGCAGCACTCCTGTGCGCACCGAAACAGATCATGTAATTCATTGCTGAGAAGGGGGCACTGAAAGAGCAAAGCTGCGGCAGCGTTTCCCAGAGTCTTAGCTGACGGAGGCTATAGCTGGGCAGACCCCACCAGAACCCACCAGCTGATGTTAAAAATCAATGAGACAGCCATGCTTAAGTGAAGAGCACATGCGGCTTCACACGCTTCAGTTAAAGACCTGCATAACTGCAAACATCATCCTCAGCGTCATGAAGCGGATAGCTGGGGGCTTGGAGCTGCCCTAGAAAGCCAGCGAGGTACACTGTAGAACAGGCTTGGCCGTGGTCAAGCTGCTCAGGAGGCGAAATATACTATAACATTACTAGAGCATATTATATACTATAACATACTGTAATAAGGGTTTCCATTTTCTTTTCCTTTCTACTTATATGAAAAAGGAAAGTTAGCCAGAGGACCTCGGCTCTCAAGCTTAGGACTGTGCTGTGGGGACTTCCAAGCTCTCAGCTTGAGGCAGGCAATGCCGAGAGCTCCAGCAAGCAAACCACGTCTTCTCCGTTGATCTCAGCTGTTTGCATCATTTTCTCATCTCAATATACTACATAGTAGTTTCCATTTTCTTTTCCATTAACCCCTATGCAACCCCAATATGCTACACAGTAGTTTCCATTTTCTTTTTCAGTAGGCAACAACAGCAAAGCCATCAAAAACAGTCAGCTTTGAATCTGAGCAATTCAAGGCTGAAGGCTGCGCGAGACAAAAAAATGTACTTAGGCTGGGCTCCTGGCAGCAAAGGTTGAAGATATTCATAACCTCTTGGCTCAGGAGGAAATGTTGGTGGAGGATCTTCTCTTGCCACGGCTTAGCTGGGACAACCATCGGAACATGCGCAACATGCAGATCTTGGGCAAGCACCAATCCCAAATATGGGAACAGTCTGCCGAAATAAGGGCGTATGTAAAAGTTCAAGAACTCCGACCGAATGACTTGCACTTATCCGACCACAAAACAAAAATGCTTGACACATCAGATCGCAGGCAAGATGCTAGCTGAGGACGTGACGACAAGATAAAATAGAACTGTTAAGGCAGAGACCTGAGTCTGTCTATCTGTTCATCCCGTGTAGCATTGTAGCACAGGCAAAAAAAAGTGCTGCGACTCACTCCTGCGGACATGACCTGAACATCGTGCACTGACTGCACTGGTTCCCAAGTCTTCACTGGTGGGAGAACAGTACGACAATGTCATTCGGACATTTTCTAGTTTGTAGGGCGGATGTTTGCAACAAATAGCTACTAGTAAGACTTGTTCCGGGGATCGGGAAAATCTTGCCTGACATGAAATGGCTTCGACAAAGAGCGCTTCAGGAGGTGTAGCCTACCATTGCTTCTTTCAGTGTGCTCAATCCTCTGATGAATCTCGGGTCCAAGCAATTCGCAATCGTGACCTGGCCACGGGTGCGTGTTCAAGATGGATCGCTGCAAGCTGTGGCTTACGAATCAGATTTTCTCGCCAACGCGTCAGCACTGGATCAGGGCCGCCCTTACGTTCAAGGTTGCGCTCGCTGCGCGACCAGGGTAGCGTGTCCAGGCTTGAGCCTTGCTTTGGGAACTGAAACTCAACAGCGGAGCGCAAAGAAGCAGAATACTGCAATCCTAGGGTGTCATAGGCTCCAGAGAGGCCCAGAGCAGTCTGTTCTTGCAGCATGCATGTGGCATATGTCATATGTGGCACGGGTTGCTGTATGTTACTTCTCTTCCGGATTCATCTTTCCTCCAGGGCTTGGACAGTTGTGCGCTTCCAAAATAAATCTTTACGCCGTTCCCTGAAATTCAACTGGGTGGCTAGCCACCCGCACCACCTCCAAAATCATGCATGCTCATGACAGCAGATGGCTTCGAGCAACGCGATACGGATCATGTTCAGCACGGAAGAAAAGGAATAGAAGCCTGTACGCTCTGCGGGAAAGGCAAGATGGAAGACATGTGAATGTACAAAAGAACCAGCAGTTCTGGCTTCACATGTTCAAGTTGGATATCAACAGCCGAGTCGAATGCTTGGCTTTGCTGAAGCGTGGCTGGAAGTAGGCCTGCAGCTTCAACGTTCACACGCTCCTCAAGGTTTGCCTCAAGAATACCGGAGCCCAGCCGGGGCCCGTGCCAGAAGCACTGCGGCGAGCACCAGGTGAGCGAGCAGAAGTGCAAGGAGGCGCGATGTGGCCTGGATAGTCGTGGCAGAAAGCGGCTCGGCCCCTATTACCCAGATGCCCCCAGCCTCCTGGTACGTCCGGGTGATACCGAGCCGTTCCAGGAAGACCTTGTTGCATATCAAGATGGCTTTACATGATGAAATAGAATTTGACCATGAGATACTTTGAGCCTGGCATCTGGAGTTTCAGCGGCTGGACAACCACCAAACGAAAAAATGCTCAATAAAGAACTTTCAAAGATACACATTCTGGAGTCCGTACGTCACCCGATCGCAGGAGGGCGAGGCCACCGAACTTGCCCGCCTTTCTGTGCATCGGAGTCATATGAGTCTTGCAACAATTACCCCGGCGTACTCACAACTGCAAACCCAGAGCATTCCCTATTTTGCTTGTAGGGCAAATGCTGTGCCACAGCACATGCCATGTTGGCACGCGGCGAAGCATTGCAATTAGGATGGGCAAGTACATATGTACAGACTTGGGAGCTATGTTGGCATCCCGCAGTGTCAAGGAACAAGTGAAGTCTGGTTCAGCAGCATTACAGTGTCCTAACAGCTGACATTCCCTGAGTTGCTCCTGCTAAAGCTCAAAATGTAATATCATGATTTTTCCAATGGCTGGTTTCGTCTGTGCTCTGTACAGGTACACGCACGGCTCCAGCATGGCATTTGATCTCTTGGAAAGTGGTCATCATAAGTGGGCCCCTGTCTCACTTCGGTCTGCCGCACGCGATAGGGCGATGGGGGATGACGGCTCCTGTCGCTGCAACTGCAATTGTGCACTGCCGCGCAGGACATCACACCGTCAGGTAATCCAGAAGATTCCGTCCTCCTGCGTTGCAGAGCTTACGATGCTCCACCTTGAGGTTGCTCCTGCCAAGCCCAGGGCGTCCAAGCTGCAACAACCCCCATACCCTGTGAAGCAAGGGAAACGTTCTGGCAACAATTGCTGTCAACTGAGGCTTCGGAAGTTGTCAGCAAGCCCGGCGTCCTTCATAGATAGGGCCAGCTGCAAGGGCTGCTGCTGTCGACGCTCCACCACTTCCTTCCACAGCCTTGGCTGGGAAAGGGGTAGGCGAATTAAGTTGCAGTTAAACCGTGGTCCGGTTCGATTTGCAGCAAAGCAGCTCGCGCTCATGCTTCACACGCTCAAGCTGCGACTCAATGTGCTGCTGCGAGATCTGCAGAAGACGAAGAACGCTGTGGTCAGCCTTCTTTGCAACCATATCCTCAGCCCAAGCATCTTCAGGCATCTTCAGGCACAAGAACTCACAAGAACGCAGGATGGCCTGCTTGCACTCCAACTTGGCTGCCAGGCGATGCAACTCTGCAGCTAAGGAAGCCACCAAGATGTTGCGGAAACGCTGGGAGCAGCGTTGGCGCCATGCTTTATCAACGCGGAAGGACATGTTCTCCGCACACTCCTCCAACTTGCAATGCCGCTCTGCAGATCATGAGTGTGCATTTCTGGGCTTTTGGGAGTTTAATCCTACGCCGCAGGTGTACGCAAGCTCTCGCCAGATACTGAGCTTGCATGAAATGCAATGAGCCAAGAGTTGAGTCCAGAAACCTCCCGGTCCATAACGTCATTTCTTTTCTTGCGCCGTGAACATGTCTGCACATGTAAGGCGAAGTTCTTCTGGTTTGGGCATGGCCTGCGCCAACTAAAGGTCTAGTGAAGTCTAGGGCTTGAAATGGTGCCCAAGAACCCACGAAATGCTGAAAGTGCCAACCAAGTTGAAGTCCCCAACTTCCCTTAATGGTCTGGCAAGCGAAGGCTTTACAGAACTTGCCAGCTCCCGCCTCCCAACCCAGCAGCTCAACATCGGCTTCACCCTGATCAGCACCCTCCGCGTCATCAAACTTGGGGCCAGGGAAGACGCCAACCACCTAGTCGAGCAGATCAGCTTTGCGGTTGCTCTTGCAACCTTCCGCGGATCCCTCCTGTGCAAACTTGACAACACCGCGTGTCAGCGCAGCCGTGCAGTGCTTCAGGTCTTCGAAGGGCTTCTCGTTCACCTGGGTTTTATTCAGAAGTCTCCCATGCATGGCAGTCTGCACATGTTGGTGTCGTCCGCAATGCGCAGCTCTCGTCTCTGCTATGCAGCTACCCCTGCTTCGAGCCTTCGTGTCCAGTACATCGTGCACCTTACAAATGGCCCAGGCAGCCACAGATAGAAAGTTTGAAAACAAGCGCACGTTTCGGAAACAAGTCTATTTGCACCGGGAGTCTGCATCCATCTGGGCTTTCCAGTTCTGCTCGTCCATGTTGCCTCAGCTGACTTCTCGCTTGAGGCTTGCGGAAGCAGAAGGGGGAGGATTGCACGGGATGCCCGGCTCTTGCATTTGCGTCGAAGGATATCCAAGATGCGCTGCTTCTCCATCTTGCGAACCGAATCGCAGTTCTTCTGGATATCCACTTCATGCGACGCGCTCTTCACAGTCAGCCCATTAACTTCCTTTCACGCATCTTTGCTTTCAAAAGGTTGGCAGCATGTCTTCCATGGCTTCCTCACCTCGCGTAGCTTCAAGATGTCGCGCTTGTGCTCCCCAAGACCTCCCTGCACCCCGCTCATGCGGAGGTCCAGGGCCCCCAAACGACGGGAGGCCTCTGCGCTGCGGAGCTCCGCCTAGAGCCAGGTTGCAATGCGTGCGGGGCAATAAGAGGAGCATGGCACAATCAAGGCATACCAAACAGACCACTTTCTCCCTGCCTGTTGCTCCACACCGTTGATTTTGTCATAGGCCTCTTGCCTCGCAAGCTGAGCGAATCCCTCTGCCGTAAACTCACCAAGGAAGACTCGCAACAGTATTCGCCTCGGCCCTACCGAAAGGCATCCTGGGGCTCCTACAGAAACATTCCTGGTTGCCCACTCCCCCCGCACACCCTCCCCTTTTTTTCCCCATTTCGGGTGTGGTCCTGGCCTGAGCCTGGAAATCTGCAGCTTAGCAGCGTAGCATGCTGAAACATCTAATGCCATGGGATCCTCTTGGGCTCTGACACCTTTAAAAAGCGTCTTGAGCGGTGGTGCTGATCCTGCTGCTGTCCAACATGATGACTTCACCTGTTTCCCGACCGCTACTTCCTCCGCAGAGTCGGGTACAGCCGGGCCGACGTGGACGCCGCAGCGATCACCATTAAGAGGTGGCAAGGAAAACAGAGGCTCCAAACGCCAGGCAGAGGCTTATTCCTTAACTCCTTCAAGAAATTCAAGCACCCCTTCTAAGGCTGCTGTCCAAGGTGCTGCTTCTGGCGAATGTCGTTCTTTAAGCGCGCTTCTGTGTCTGCCACGTTCCGTTCCAAGTCACTCCTTACGACTGCCACCTCGTTGAAACAGTCGCTGAGTGAATTCTGCGTCGTGTGGAGACTCTCTTGCGTTGCCGCCAGGTCTTTGTTGGTGAAATCCTTGGTCGCACATAGGAACGCACAAAAGCGTGAAGCTTAGTGGCACTACAAGTCAGGATCCGACAATGCGACCGTTGAGGGCATTCACCGCCTGGTCTGTATCACTTGTGATCTTGGCCTTGCACTCCTGCGGACGCGCAACATCTCGCTTCAACAAGTCACAGCGTAGGCACGGTCAGAGAAAAAGCACCCGAGTCCTCCAAATTGGTTTCCACCGCTGTGATGTCGTGCCTGATGGTTGCCAAGATTTCATCCACCTTCCGGCGGCGGGCGTCCACGTCCAGGCGAAGGGAGGAGACCATGTCACGCACAGTCTTGATAGCAGCATCCAAGTCATCGTTGGCTTCCTGGCGGACAAGACGTCTGTATCCCTGGGCAAGCATCCCAGAAAGCAAAAACCTGCGAGCATTCAGGCCAGCTGTCCTTCCAGGCAACATTGTCCACCTTGGTGTCCAGCTTGGTGTTCATTTCATTCTTAAGGTTGATGATATCCTCAGTCAGGTTCTCCTCCTTCTCTTGCATCTGCTGGAGAGTGTTGGACACATCCTCCATCCACGAGTCATGATTTTTCAACGCTTCTTGAATGTCGCCGATGTCAAGGCGCATGGTGGAAATCTCAGCTGTCATCGTCGCCTGCACGGATGAAAGTGGTCATTCATTCGTCAGCACAGGACACCCACTTGCTGCGCGTATGACTCCAAACCACACCTCCACACGCTGTCGGCTTGTGATGATGGAGTGCGTGGCATCGACTTGTGCGCGCATCTCGTCAAGGTCCACGTTGACGGCGTCCATCGCCGCAGTGAAATCCTTTCAAGTGTGGCAAGAAGTCGTGGCATGGAAGCATCTCTTCGGCAGGCTCACCATGAGTTGTGCCTCCATGTCGCGTTCACAGGCCAGCACGATGCGGCGGATGTGGTTCACCTCGCCTTTGTTGTTGCCGAGCAAATCTTTCAGCTCTCCGACATCATATTTCAGCTGGTCCAGGTCCTGGCAAGGCTTCACCCCCCATGACCCAAGGCTACCTTAGCTAGCTACATGCTAGCGCACTATATCAACCCGCAATTCATTGTAATTCGCTCAACCGGAGACCGATGCGCACAGCTTCCCTGCATGGATGCTCCTGCCGGGAGCCCCTGAGAGTCAGGCTGCCCCTATGCGATGCTCCCTGGAGTATGAGCGATGGCTGTTTTGAGATTGGTTCGTCCCATCGCGCCCAACGAACAGACTGTCAACGCAAACTGTCAAAGAGCAGGGGCTACCAAAGGTGGCCACTGTTTCTTCTACATCAACCTTAACCTGAGCTTCAGGTCTCCTCGGCCATGGTGTCGAGGCCAGCTGCTCCACCGGCACCATCAACGGGCTTTGTAGCCGCAGCCCCCCGATTCACATGCGAAAGCTTTTTGTCAAAGTCCTTCAGGAGAAGCAAAGCACTGCCACTGGCAGAAAGAGACAAACATGCGTACATCTGCGTACTTTTCATGGCCAGGTGCTGTCTGCAGGTTTGCCAGCTGCGCCGTGATCTGCGATTCAAAGTCCTGTAATCTTGTGGCCACCTTCCTTGGCATGTTGATGCGCGTGGAACGGCACACTGCCAAGAATCCGAAGGTGCTGGATTCCTTTGCAGATGAGCTGCTTCATGATCTGAGCATCACCCCCTGTCTTGCGTGCTGGAAGAATGCCACCTGCAAGGCAGGAACCCCAGTTAGCTGTACACTTTGCAACACATGAAGATGTCTTCTTGGACCCATTGGCCAAATGGGTTTTGCATGTTTTTG